GGCCGCTGCCTTACTGCATGCCTTTGCCACCTTGCGCTGTGGCAAATTCAATACAGTGAATCCCTATCTTATAAGACCCTAAGACCCAGGGAGGCGCTGAAGTCCATAAGCAAGACAAGACTGCAAGATATGCCCTTCTTTTCATTGTTTCCTGTCCGTGTCCCCTCCACAACAGGCTGGCTGTTGCAAGTCCTGCTCTCGACTTCCCATATGCATGGAATAGGGAACTTTTTAGACTCACTTGCGGTCATGAACTCCAGGAGCTGGATGTGTAAGTTATACACACAGTCACTGTGAGCATTGTCACAGTGTTATTTGGTGAATCTAGGCCTTTCACTATAAATACTGAATAGGGCTGAAAGGCTTTTCCCTTTGCAAGGGCACTCTTAGCTTCTCTTGCAAAAGTGCCACATTTGCTAAAAACTGCAAATAAAACTTGAGCACTTCCTTGGTTACAACCTCCTGCCCCATCTTTGCAGTGGTGTCTTAAGGGGGCATTGTTCTGTTTGGAAGCTCAAGTCTTGGTATTACCAGCATATGCAATGCAGCAGATGTGGAAACATTTTAAAAGTCTAAAATATGTAACTGTTGGAGCTGGGTTTGGTTGGCTCTTTGCATCTCATTCTGCTTGAGATGCCATGAACACAGATCTTCCTCCTACCGCTCAGACAGTAGCACAGTACTGAAAGGTTGACAAGTCAAACAAAACTGACTTAAATTTTTGGACGCTGAAAATCGCTCTCTTGGCAAAAGCTCATTTATACCAGATTGAGACTTGGGCCTACACATTACCCATGTGTGTCTCGTTTTTACCAATCCTGACCCATAGGTCTTACATAAAGTGGTATGTACCTCCATCAGGACACCCGTATGCTTCGACCTGGCATTCAGAATTTCTTGGAACTCATCAGACTCCAGGTAGGCCAGCTGCTCCCGCCATTTCTTTTGGGCTGGCTCCAACTCATTTGCATCTAGGGAAACAAGAGCTTTGCTGCTGACACCAGCTTCTGAGCTGTGTTTTTTTTTCTAAACATGATCATTATTTTATACCGTATAAACAACATGTGCTAATGCTGATGCCTCAATTGCTGGAATTTATTTATTCCTTTATTTATCCACTACATTTATATGCCACCCTTCCCAAAAAAGGCTCAGAGTGCCTTAAAAAAAAAGTTTGTGAGGAGCAGAAAGAGCAACTGGTGCAGCAGAGAGAGACCACAAGTCAAATTCTAGTTTAGTTGCAAGCAAAGATGTGTCATTAATATCAATTTTTTGTAGTCCCTTCTGCAGATCAACAAACTCTGCAAAGTGGCTGAAACCCCCTGCAAACATGTAGCAGATAAATGATTTCTCTTTGGTCACTTCATGGAAAAGCTGGAAATGAAGTTAGCAATTAATAGTAATCCCACACTCCAGTCATTAAGTCATATTCCCTGATAAGACTTAGGAAACCTCCCAATTTGTGAATATTTAAAAATACTGGATTGCCTAGAAGCAGGGGGAGCAAGACCGGCCTAAATAGTAGGTGCCACATACCTAAAGCAAGGCTGACTGGCACAGCACTGTGTTCAAGGCTAGCGTATTCTGTGGCAAGCTGGACCTCCCTCCTAAAACAGACTTTCTTGGTGGAAAGGCCGAAGCATCAGAGTAAGCACTTGTTGTTTGCATAGCATAAATTAATGACCACATGCTGTTTACAGCAACATCATTAAAAGGAACAGAAGTTTGCCACCACTAAATCTATGAGTCAGTTAAAACCAGAGACATATTATTGTGTTGGTTTATGCTAAGCCCCGGCTTTCCATTCTCAATACACTGCAAATTTCTGTACCAACAACAGCAGTGTCATGGAATCTCATTGTGGAGCCGCTCAAATCTCATACACATAATCACAAAGGTGGCATTGGGTCCACAGTATAAACACAGCAGCAGGAAGTGACTGTTGAAGTGACCAGCAGCCAAGTAGTTAGCACTGCACCTGTGAGATGAGATTTTCAACAGCGCCCAAATAATTTAGAAGTGGTTCTCAAACTCTTTTCATTTGCAGACCCCTAAAAACTTTCACATGGAGATGGAGACCCCTTTGGATTATAGATGTGGGCATTCACAAGCTTTAGATTGTCCATCTTTCATGGACCCCTTAGTCTGCAGACCACAGGTTGAAAACCACTGATTTAGAACCACAAGTGCTACTGGCCTGCAATGAGAGTCAGTCTAAGACCAGAGGGATGATGCTTTTGCACATCCCAGTCTAAAGTCTGGAGACACCTGGGTGACAGCAATTTTATTACAGCGTTAAAGTGATTAGACAACACTTGAGGTAAGAATTTAATTGTTCAGTGCGTTTGGGAGAAAAAGAGGTGGGTGGTGGTTGTGGAGGCAGGTGGGGTAATAGGATGGTTCTGAAGCTGGAAGGAGACCAGAGCCCACCATAATATTGTTAGGGACCAGCCTCTAAACCATGTTTTGTTTAGACAAATTTAATTTTTTTTGTGGTTCACCTTTCCTGCTTTGTTAAAATTCTGGCTCCCTAGTCACCACCTCACCCTGAGCCACAAAAACCTCTCTCCCTGACTATAAGTAGCTCCCGTCTCAATAGTACAGAAGAAGCCCAACCTCTTGTCCCAGAAACACTGTGGAGTTAGTCCCTTTTAAGTCAGACAGAGACGTTTTCCAAATCTCTCAGGCCAAGCACATACTTCTCATTCTCAGCTGAACAAGCAGTTGTCCAGCGTTTTACAGTTTACAGCATTTTGCTATAAAGCCCTGGAGATAACTGGAGACCAGCATTTTTCATGCCAGGCAGCACTGACGTACCTTGTGATGAGGAGGCAGCATTCTCCACTCTCTCTGCAACTGCAAGAACCTCAGCAGGATCCGGTCGTTTCCGTTTGACATTGTTTGGGTTGGTTTTAGCGAGGATTTGGCCTTTCACTCGCAGCTTGTTTATAGCAGCCAGCTGGAAAATGGGGAAGAATCATTAAGATGGTGCTGGATATGAAAACTGAAAGCTTGGAACAG